CCCCCCCAAATAAATTTAAAAACCAAGTAATCAAGTTGAATTAACTAAAAAAACCAAACAAATAAACAACAACAACAACAAAAAACTCAACAAAAAAACCCCCCAAGCACACTTTAGCCTCAGGTTTTGGGAAAGACCTTGTCCAGCCACCTCTCCACTTAATCGAAGGGACCTGTGAGCCACTGCAATGGCTGTTGGGAAAAAAAGGTGGCTAGGGGGAACCAGCACGGCAAACGGGCTTGTTACATGGCCTCTGTGGTCAGGAAAGTGTATATTCTTTCTGTTCTGTCTGCCTAGACAGAGGTTCACTTAACCTTCTTAAGACCAGGCAGAATGCCCATGTTAGCAATATGCCCATGTTAATTTCCCTATCTACATTTACAAAAAAAAAACCAAACAAACCCCAAAACACCCCCCACTGCTCAAATGAATCACGTGTTCTACACTTAATCAAAAGCTTTTTTGCTCACCAGGTATGACAGCTAATGGGCCAATATTAAGTAGGATTCATAAATAAATAAAACCTTCCCACCCACCCCTAAATACGTAACATTCTAGTTAAAACAACATCCCTTACTTACCCCACCCTCTCACCTGCATTTTTTTAAGGGAAAAAGAAAACTTGACCACCCTAAAAACATGGGAAATCTTCCACTGAAGACAGATAACTACACAGATTGCTAGTAACTATAAAAGAAGAAAGAAGAACTACCACGAGTTGGTTGTTTAAGAAAGTAAACTGATTTTTCAGTCTTAAAAAAAGAACGAATCAGTTACTGTTGAGTTGGTTTTAACTCCTGTTGACCCTTTGCCTGTCAGGATATAACTGTATACGGTCTTAAATGTTTAATTTTTGGAAATAGTTTTCCAATACTTCTCCTGAGGCACCTTTGAGTGGGCTTTCAATTTCTTGGTTAGCAGCCAACTAGCTTAGCCATTTGCACCGTCCTAGAGATCCACTAGAGTATAAATCCAATTCATAATGACCTCATAGAACTGGGAAGATCTGTCTCACAACGCTTTCAAGGCTTTGATACTCATGGAAGCAGACAGAGTTCTTTTTCTCCTATGGAGTCACTATTGTTTCCAACAGTCAGCTTTTGACATAGCAGCTAAGTGCTTTGATCACTGCCGATCTGCCCCTTAAAAGTGTACACATATAGAAAAAAATTAAACACATTTTACATGAATTTAACTTTTTCTAGGCCCTTCACTTGCTATAGAACCCAGGCCAATCTTTAATGAAATTACTCCAGTCTTCAGATCAGAAGGTTAAGATTTAAATGTAAAGCTGCACTTATAGTTCTCATTCTAGGACACTAGGACACATGGTTTTAGAAAACCGACTTGGTCTCTGTTTTCTAGAACATCATAAATTCACTCCTTCTAGGGTCAAGGTGAATAGAACATGACCACTCTAATCCCACGGACACCCACTCCTGTGCAGTGGGGTTAAAACTCTGCTCTCCTTTAAGGATGGGATTCAGTGGTGCTGAGTTACTGCTTTTGAAAATTGACTGCATTCATTTTAGACATAAAAAACTAGATATCAATTGGAAAACTCCTCTTACACAAACACATTAAGATAAATTTGATAAGAATATGTCTTTAAATTATTTCAAGCTGTCTTCATTTGACTGATTAAGGGAGAAGACACAAAACAAATACAACACATAATCTTGATTTATAAGCTACAGAAGAAAGGCATTACCAGAATAAATTTAGCAAACTATTATGAGCAAACTTTCTCTCAGACTTCACACTCTATACTGTAGGGATTTTGATGTTATAATTTGAAGTGGATGTAATTTATTTCTTTCTTCTTGAACAAGCGAAACAGTTTGTCACTACTGTCAAACAACTACTCAGGGGAGATAGCTAAGTAAATAAAACTCAGTCTTTGGAAGCCCAATTATTTCTCAACTCTGGTAGCTACAGATGAGATTTCCAACAGGTAAGGTACTACAAAAATTAAAATTATAGAAATACTTATTTTTAATGATCACTAAATTATATTCTGTATTAGTCATTGGACAAAATGTACTTTTAGCCATTTACTTACCTACATATTTCACTATAATGTTAGTGAATTTCTGAAACAAATATCTTTAATGTCTTTAAACTTTAAACTAAAAATTTGACAATGATTTTGAAAACATTTTAATTGGAACAGTACAGGTAATTCTAGCAAATACTCCAATTTCATAAAAATAGTTGATAAAAACGTCCTTTTAACTAGGATATTTTTCCTCTTTAGAAGACTTTGAAATTGTCATCTCTTTTGTATCTCAGCTTGTTGAAATAAAACACCGCAGAATTGCAAGTTAATTCAGAGAGAAATGGTCACCAATTTTTCCCAGACGGAAGCAGTGGAGTTCTGCTATGAGAATGTGAACGGATCCTGCATTAAAACCCCGTACTCACTCGGACCTCGGACAGTTCTGTATGCAGTGCTAGGCCTCGGAGCTGTGTTGGCCGTGTTTGGAAACTTACTGGTCATTATTGCTATCCTTCACTTCAAGCAACTGCACACACCTACCAACTTTCTGATTGCGTCCCTGGCCTGCGCTGACTTTTTGGTGGGAGTGACTGTGATGCCCTTCAGCACGGTGAGGTCTGTGGAGAGCTGCTGGTACTTTGGGGAGATTTACTGTAAATTTCACACTTGCTTCGATACCTCCTTTTGCTTTGCGTCTTTATTTCATTTATGTTGTATCTCAATTGACAGGTATATTGCAGTTACTGATCCTCTAACCTATCCAACCAAGTTTACAGTACCAGTTTCAGGAATATGTATTCTTCTGTCCTGGTTCTTTTCTGTAACGTATAGCTTTTCCATCTTCTACACTGGGGCCAATGAGGAAGGCATTGAGGAATTAGTGGTGGCTCTTACCTGCATCGGAGGTTGTCAGGCGCCACTGAACCAATACTGGGTTATGCTCTGTTTCCTTCTATTCTTTATACCCACTGTTGCCATGGTATTTATATATGGCAAGATATTTTTGGTAGCAAAACATCAGGCTAGGAAGATAGAAAGTACAGCCGGTCAAGGTCAGTCTTCCTCAGAGAGTTACAAGGAAAGGGTTGCAAAACGAGAGAGAAAGGCTGCTAAGACGTTGGGAATCGCCATGGCTGCATTTCTTGTCTCTTGGCTCCCATACATTATTGATGCAGTGATTGATGCATATATGAATTTTATAACACCTGCCTATGTTTATGAGATTTTAGTGTGGTGTGTTTACTATAACTCAGCCATGAACCCCTTGATATATGCTTTCTTTTACCCATGGTTTCGGAAGGCAATCAAACTTATTGTGAGTGGGAGAGTGTTAAGAGGAGACTCATCAACAATTAACTTGTTTACTGAGGAAGCAGATACAGATTGAGAAGCCTATGGTCAAAATTAACAGAGCATTGAGAGCCAGGGTTCAACTCAACACATGTCTCCAGAGAGACGAATGGTAATCAGTTGTTGTTGCAGTTGTTGTTAGGTGCCATTAGGTTGAGTATAATTCACAGCGACCCTATGAACAATAGACCTGAACCTTGTCTTATCCTGTGTTATTCTCATCCGCTCTGATCACTTGAGCCCGTGGCTGTAGCCCTGTGTCTATCCATCTTGTTGATGATCCTCTTCTCTTTTTTGACCCTCTACATTTCCAAGTATGATGTGCCACTCCTTGAAACAGATTCTGCTAGCAACATGATCCAAGTATGAGAGAAGCAGCTTCACAAACTTTACTTTCAAGAGGTACTCTGGCTACACTTTCTCCAAGACATATCTGCTGCTGCTTTTAGCAGTCCAAGGGATACTCAATATTCCTCTCCAACACAACTCAAAGGCTTCAATTTTTCTTCTATCATCTATATTCATTGTGGATAAAGAAATATTTAGTTGTTCTAAGGATTTTTTAAAAAGATCTTGTGATATAGGAAACATATTTGCTGCTAAATTCCATTTAACAAGCTTTGATTGTTTTCCTCAATTCTCTGCCTTTCCCTTTGTCATCCTACTTGTTTTTTCAGAGAATTTTGAATTGCATCTATTTCTTTCACATTGATTATCAATGTTTAGGAGTCCTGAATACTTGGGGGAGAGGAGGAAGCTCTGGATTTGTAAGTTAGTTGCTTTGGGAGACACAGTTCTTTTGTAGAGATATCTTAAAGGTGCTTGAGCAGTAAATTCTAGATTATAAATGCCTTTTTTTTTTAATCTAAAGGACTTTCTGGAGATCTAGAATGTGGAATTTAGTGATCAAAGCTTGTTTATAGAGTAGTGGCATGGTGGGAAGATGCTGCCAAATATTTTGGATGAATTTGTTACTTGGATTAAAAGCATTTGAAATTGAAAAATAATGAAAATAAAAAGAAATTGAATTGAGTCTGTTCAAACACAAAAGTTTTGAAAAATTATACAATTAGCATTAACTAATTTTAAAAAAAAAAGATGTTGCACTGCCAACCCAGAGGCAAGGAGTTTGAATCCATCCATTACTTTGGGGCAGAAAGATGGACAATCACCTTCCAGCTTATTTCTAGCCTCTGAAAGCCTGCTGGAGGTTTGGTATGAGTCCGTTTCGGTTCCATGGCACATTACAAGAACAACAACTATAACAAATATTGTTTAATAAAGAGTGGACATTTTATCTTTTGTGCCAGGTGAATTTCCCCTCTCCATTTTAGAGAGAGACAGAGTTCACAAAGAACATTTTTCAGGACTATGTGCTGTTTAGGCAACTCTGATGCCCAAGTGGGTGAGGAGATGTGCTGTCAACTTAAAGCGAAGCAGTTCGAATATACCAGTTACTCTGCTGGAAAAAGATGGGCAGTCTCCCCCCATTTGATTTACTGTTTCTGAAAATTTACTGAAAGGTCAGCTTTGAGTTGGTTCTAACTCCACAGGACATAATAGCAACAGCAACAATATGCTGTATGAGACAATATCTTCCCTTGTACTCAAGCGGTCTCAACTGTCCTGATTGTGATTCCATACTACACCTTATTTTGGAGAGCATAACCTATAATTATAGAATAAACATGTGGCCAAAAATATGAACTCTGCATCTCTTTAGTCATATAAATAATTTTCTAAAACACTAGTAATTAAAAGAAATCTTTTTCCCCTACCTGAATTTCCATTTATACTGAAAACTGTATTTGAAAATATTAAACTATATGATCAAATAGAACAAAGATTGTGTTATATCAGCAAATCCTCAAGCCTCTAGGTGTATCCTTAGGTTTTATTTTGTCTGATAGTATAAGGGTATTTTTTTTTTTGCCTGATAGTATACATTTTTTTTAAAAATGGACTTCAGTTAGAATCTATTGCAATTAAGAAGTCACAGTTAAAATTCATATATTGACTAGAAGTTCAAGAAAACTGGTAAGATAATTTGTCTTCTCAAACATTTAAGTCCTGCCTGATATCTTTGTTTAGGTAGCTGGTTTTCACAGATTATTCTGTAAACCAAATTTATTTTATGTGGTGGAAAAAAATGTAGAAATAGTTACCTAATTATTACATCTTACATTTATGAATGGAATAATTTGAAAATACTTTGTGAAAGATTAAGTTGTTTTATATTCATTCATTAATGACTTTCAAGTAGAGCTGAAAGTATTTATGGGAAAAATTGTTAAGGCTAAGAGAGGATGAAAAGAATAGGGACATCAGCCAAGTCTGCATGGCAGAATATTTATTGGTGGTTCAGACTCTGATGTCAAGAACAGATCAGGTGAGCACTTTGCAAATCATTGCAATTAAAGGTCCCTATTCTGAATCCTTAAAAAGCAGTCCAAAGCCAATGTTCCCTTGATGATCAGTAATAATACTACGCTCATGGAAATATATGTTCTTTCCTCAACTGCAAATAAAAATTTTGATTGACATGACACATGAGGAACAAAGAAAATAATCCAAAGGACTTTAAAAAAGACATTACTCTGTTCACTCTCTCTATGTAAAGGGGAGTGAGTATTCTGTAAAAGACTGATGGCAAAAATTCTGCCCAGTGATGTTTTCAAGGTCTTATTCACATCAATAGGAAGCTCTGGTGGTCTAGTGGATAAGGAATTGTGCTGCCAACCCAAAGGCTGGTGGTTTGAATTCTCCAGCTCCTCCTCAGTAGAAAGTGGACAATACCTTCCAATGCAATTTATAGCCTCTGAAAACTCCTTGGAAAGTCAAGTAAGAGTTTATTCCAACTTAATGAGCAAGTGAGTGATTCATGTCAGTGAGTAAAGCACATACTTTTTGTTTGTTTTTCTATCCTTCTTGTAATCTTTCATCAAGAAATTCTGTTTATTAAAAAGTACTACTTTTTTATCTTCAAAATTAACCAGACTGGCATATACTAATCATCCTCTCTATACTTCATTGTTTATATAAGTCCTTGGGAAATGACATCATGCTGAAAGAAGTGGAAGGTTAGAGAAGAAAAGAAGATTCTCAACACAATGGACTGATACGGTGACAGTAACAATGGGCATCTTGGACTGTGGGGATGGCGTAAGATAGGTCAAGAGTTAGAGCTATTGTTCATAGAATTGTCGTGAGTCATAGAGAGAGCTCTGTTGGCCTAGTAGATAGAAAGTTAGTCTTCCAAGCCAAAGGTGGGTGATTATAATCTGTGGCACTCAGGCCTGGTTTTAATTATTTTTGATCAAATATTCTTCTAAGCGGTACAGCACTAGTCTGCCCATTTGCTGTACAGGGGTAACTTGCAGGGGTTGCTGTAATGTTAAACACTGTGACAGTGATGTGTCAAATGCTATCATGCTTGCCCATTTTGGGCAGTGTTTGGTCGTGCTCCTAGATTAAAACAGGTTGGAAGCAGGAGTGGCATCCACTTCCAAAATAGCTTGCCTCCGGAAAGCCTATGAACCTGGAGAAAGGATGAAAGTTATGCAATTGTTCAGCTCTTTTGTTCATAGGGTCGCTATGAGTCATCTATGACATGACAGCACTTAACAACAACAAACTATTAATGCCTTGGTCAACTGTATATTCAGTTAGTTCTGGAACAAGAATGGAGGAAGACTTATTTGTACAACTCTATAAAGTAAAACGGATTTAGTCTCAGATTTGAAACTACACAAATACTATGCTTTATGTAAATATGTCATTATAAAAATATATTGTTTCATTAATAAAACATTATTTAATTTAAAAGTTATTTTAGAATAATTTTTGTCTGTGCATATTTTTCTCAGGTGGTCAATATTAAAAGTGCATTTAGTGAATCGATAAATTAAGGAATCCATGAAAAACTAACTCTAAAGACAGAATCGAGTATCAGCTATTCTCATTTCCTCTGGGAGGGTCACCAGTCTAAGGAAGGGTACTGCTGTAACAGCATTTATTAATTACTCACAATGGATTCTTATGTGGATTTTGTGATTGCCTATGTGATAACAATTTTTGAGGTGTTATGTTCCTTTTGTCATATAAATCCCCCGACATACTTTTTCATTCTTTTTTTAACATGGTATAATGTATATAAATGAAATATTAAAACATAATCCTTCAAAAATATCAGAAATAAACGGAAACTGTTATTGCCAAATAATCCAAATCATTTGGAAACAGACATTAAAGGTAACATATGCCCTTTGACATGAAAAAATTTCTTCCTATTTGCATCTGGTGGGTAAGGAGTTGCACTGACAACCCCAAGTCAGGGACTTCGTATGCACCAGCTGCTCTGTGTGAGAAATATGGACAGTATGCTCCTATACAATGTATAGCCTCTGAACACTCACTGAAGGGTCAACTATGAGTGGGTTCTGAGTCCACAGCATGTCCTCACAACAACTGCGTGCTGTTTAGGAAAAGTTGTTCTCGTAGAACTTGAGCTGCCTTAACTATCCTGCTGGTGATTCCACAAAGTATCTTACTTTTGAAGAGCATAACCAATTATTCTAAAATAAACACATGTCCATAAAAGGTGGATTATGTAATTATTTTTACAATATTATAAAGTAATAGTTTTATAAAATGCTAATAATTAAAACTAACTTAGTTTTCCCACCCTGAGTTCTCACTCCTACCAAAAACTGTATTTGAATTGTAAATGTTATACTACCTAATCAAATAGAGCCAGATTGTGTTACAACAGCAAATCATCAAACCAGTACACTATACTCTAAGAATATTTTTAATTTTCTAATCTGATATTATTTTTAAATTTTTTTAAAAAGTAGTATGTATTAAAATCCTTCATAATTAAAAAGTGTGTTTTAACTAGTTTAAATAGAATTTAAAAAATTCAAGAAAACAAATAATAGGTAATTTGCCTTCTCAACTATTTAAATACTATCTGAAATCTTTGTTTAAGAGCTGACTTTCACAGATTATAAAACCCAACTTATTTTATGTAGGGAG